GGTGCGCGTCCGGTTTCAACCCCCGCGCCCCAAGACGCGCTAGCGGGTGCCCGGGTACAGCGGACCGGGGCGCGGGGAGAGTCCCCGGGTGCCCCGGAGTCCCCAGCGCCCGCCGCGAGCGCCCTTCCAGTCCTGCGCCCAGGTCTCCCACGGCAGGTCCCGCCGCGGAGCTCGCGCGAGTGCTGCCCGGGACCTGCTGCGAAGCGATTGTTAGCCTTAAAAGCCGGCTGCAGTCGCGGGTCGCTCTCCTGGCTCCCTCCTTTCGCCCTGAGTCCGGCCGCAACTCTCCTCCGCGCACAGGCCTGGGCTGAGATGCCTGGCGGCGCTCTGATGTTTAGACCATTTCCTGCTTTTTAGGCAGAGTACGCCGCTGCATGATGGCACACGCTAATAATTTCTATTTTGATTTTTCTTTGGCATTGGTTATTACATGACCTCCAGGGTACTTACAACACAAAGGGAGTGAAAAGAGGAAGCCTGATATACACTCGCACAGCCTCGCTAGAAAAATAGCTTAGGGCTCCCTCGGAAATGCCAAGGTCTAATTTTTTTAATTTTAATTTTATACCAATTACGTGCGCACAGATTGGAATCTTCCACTAAGAATATTTTTAAGATTGTTATATTTTAACTAAATCTATCATCAATCATAAATCTATTACTATACGATGGTTACAGGCAATTTAAATTTAATAGTAATCTCTTAAGGGTTTAAAATAACCTTTGTCTTCACACATAAGAATTGAAAGAGAGGAACTGATTTGAAAGAGATAACATAGCTTTTAGTCAGTTTATCGTGAAGGAGCAGCCTCTGGCTAAAAACTCAGCTCCGAAAAATGCAGGAAAGCAGCAAGTGTGTACATACCCTCTTGGCGACCAGGGGCGTGCTTTGTGCCTCTCCCCCTCTGTTTAGTAGTCCTGAGGCCCATGGCACTCTCCAGATCGGCACTTAATATGCCATGAAAGAAACGAGAGGCTCAGAGAAGAGGGTCCGGCTGGGTGTCGACCTTCTGGTGGAAAGCTCTCTGGGGAATTTGTGATGAACTTCCTTTTGGTCTGCCTTCTGATAGGAAGGGAAATTTTTGTTTGTTTGTTTTTTCGCGGTACTCGGGCCTCTCACTGCTGTGGCCTCTGCCGTTGCGGAGCACAGGCTCTGGACGCGCAGGCTCAGCGGCCACGGCTCACGGCCCCAGCTTCTCCACGGCATGTGGGATCTTCCCGGACCGGGGCACGAACCCGCGTCCCCTGCATCGGCAGGCGGACTCTCAACCACTGCGCCACCAGGGAAGCCCAGGAAGGGAAATATTTTTAAACGGTGTTTTCTCTTAGCATCCATTTTGAGGTTTGGTTTGTGGTTCTTTCTGTACTTCTCATGATGACGGAATTATTCTGAGGTTGGTTGTCAGGAACCACATAGGAAGTCGGCAACACAAGCTCAAGCGTTGCTCTGAAGCTGGTTTGCCTTTCAAAACCCTGAATTAATTCTTATCACTCCCACTCTTATTATATCAAATAGAAGACGGGTGGCAGAAACACACTTCAACGTTAATTTTTTTTTTTTTTTTTTTTTTTTTTTGCGGTATCGGGGCCTCTCACTGTTGTGGCCTCTCCCGTTGCGGAGCATAGGCTCCGGACGCGCACTTTTGTGTTTTTTTTTTTTTTTTTTTTTTTTTTTTTTTTTGCGGTATGCGGGCCTCTCACTGCTGTGGCCTTTCCCAGACGCGCAGGCTCAGCGGCCATGGCTCACGGCCCCAGCCTCTTCACGGCATGTGGGATCTTCCCGGACCGGGGCACGAACCCGCGTCCCCTGCATCGGCAGGGGGACTCTCAACCACTGCGCCACCAGGGAAGCCCTCAACGTTAATTTTTTAAAAGAAAATTGAATATATATGTTATTCCCTTTCATTCCATTTCCTTGTACCTACTTTTTGTGAATTGCAACCATAAGCCCTCATTACCTTATTTTTCCCATGTGCTTTGTGAACTCTAAAGTGTAATGCAAGTGGAACTTTTTTTTTTTTTTGTAATTTACAAAACACTAATTTAAAAACAATTATCTTTATTGGAGTATAATTGCTTTACAATGGTGTGTTAGTTTCTGCTTTATAACAAAGTGAATCAGTTATACATATACATATATCCCCATATCTCTTCCCTCTTGCATCTCCCTCCTTCCCACCCTCCCTATCCCACCCCTCTAGGTGGTCACAAAGCACCGAGCTGATCTTCCTGTGCTATGCGGCTGCTTCCCACTAGCTGTTTTACATTTGGCAGTGTATATATGTCCATGCCACTGTCTCACTTTGTCCCAGCTTACCCTTCCCCCTCCCCATGTCCTCAAGTCCATTCTCTAGTAGGTCAGCGCCTTTATTCCCATCTTGCTCCTAGGTTCTTCATGACCTTTTTTGTTTGTTTGTTTTTTAGATTCCATATATATGTGTTAGCATACAGTATTTGTCTTTCTCTTTCTGACTTACTTCACTCTGTATGACAGACTCTAGGTCCATCCACCTCACTACAAATAACTCAATTTCGTTTCTTTTTATGGCTGAGAAATATTCCATTGTACATATTGCTACATCTTCTTTATCCATTCATCTGTTGATGGACACTTAAAAACAATTATCATCCACTGGAGCTGCCAAAGGGCTACCATACAATCTATCTGCTGTCACACTGTGTCCTTCTGCTTTTCCTTCTACTGCTACCCAAAGAGGGTTTTAAAACACTCTTTAAAATAGACATTTTTGACTTTTCTTAATAGCACCTAAGTTAACTCATGAATCTCGGAATCACAATAAATGGGAATTAGTAACCAAAGAGTCAGATGTGCTGGATTTGACTCACAGGCCTGTCACCATGAGTTTGTGTTACTTTAGTACACAAAGTTACTAGTGTGCTACTTTGTGTGCACACTTTAGCACACAAAGTTTTGTTACTCAAAACTCTTGAGTCTGTAAGGATTTGTAGGATTGTGAAAGCTAAATGAAATATTGCATATATAAAATTACCTAAAAGTGCCTGGCTTATAGTAGGTACAAATAAACCAACTACTTTCCTGCCTTCATTCTTTCCTTGGAATTTAGTCTATTATGAGAAGCTCCTATTGCCTTTGTTATAAGAAATGAACCAGTATTTATTATAGGGTGCGTGTACAGCACGGATCAATGGATTGATTGATAGCCCCCTCATGCCCCAAACAAAATGCCAAGCCCTGGGAAACCAAAGTGAGAAGTCCCTGACTTTTAGGAGTGTGTGGTCAAGAGAGATCTGCAGATACTCTTTCACTGTAGAACCAAGATAATGAAAGTTTAAAACAGGAAGGGGTATGTGTGGAAGAAAGGGATTAAACACCTATGGAAGCCAAGTGGCTTGGTGGTGACCACCCTCAGACAGACAGTTTGCCATGGAAGTTTTCCTGCAAATTTTGAGACGTTTGTTTATGATACTATGGCTAAAGCCTTAAGTGGAGGGAAAGCTGTTGGTCTTGTGTCTTATCACAATGACAGTGATCAGAAATGTTATCTTCAAATGGGGAAAACAGCAACTCAAAACATAGTTTATTTGATTCATCATTGAAATATGTTGTTTTTGTTCACTTTACATCATTTTGGGTGTTACTTAAATTTATGCAACCTGAGATAAAAAGTTATATTGTTGAACCACATACTTCCTTATTTCAAAGGGTTGTTATACATTGTGTGTTAAATGAACCCAGAAAACTGGTTAGACCTGCAATGATAGCATATGGATTTAGGATTATAGGAGACTCCTTATGTTCCAGAATGGGACAGTCCCTCAGTTGAATTGGCTTGATATACCCTTGGGGAATTGTGTTTTGTGGAAGAGCCGCAAATGAGAGTTAGTAAGTTCATTTGTCTCCTTTTTGGAACAGATATTTGCGAACACTTGTCTAGAGTATGTTAAGGCAGTGGTAGTGGGTCTCTGCTGTTTTGCCACATAACTTCTCATAGTAATGCCCCAGTGTACTCCCGGAGAACCATCGTTCTGCTCTCAATCCATGTGATCAGGCTGTGGCACCATCACCACTGCCTCCTGACTCTGGGGGTTGGCAAGTGACCCAGGAATAGCCTTTCCAGACACCGCTGAATGAGCCAACAAGCCTAGGAGATGCCTGGTACCTTTGCTGGGATGGCTGGGAGATGGGTCTGTGCATGGTGAAAGAAATGAGCAGGACTGAAATATTTGGGAGGATCCATATCCTGGAGAGCCTTGAATGCCATACAAAAGCATGTGAAACTATTTTTCAGCAACAGGAAGCCAGGAAGCTAGTTTTTGAAAAGTGGCATATGAAAATTGGTGTTTTTGGAGGATTAGTCTGGCAGCTGTGTGTAGGATAGGATGCGGTGAGGAGAGAATGCAGGCCAAGAGACCATTTCATCTTTACAATACACTGTAATTTACTACAGGGTTGAATTTACATCCTTGTCCAAATGTGAGGGAAACTCAAATCGGAAATTTTAAAATGTCTTTTTGTGGCCTTTTTAAGCATTCACCGTCTCACACAAATTGATTGCCTTGTAGATTTACATATATGCACAAAAAATGATGTATTCAAAAACGTTAACAGAGAGACTGAAAAACTTAAGGAAAATATTATCATTTTTGCTGCTCTGAATACTGTTTGACAGGAGCACAACATTCTGGTGCATTTGTTTAAGCAGAAATAGTTCTTTTTTTAATTGAAGTATAGTTGATTTACAATGTGTTAATTTCTGCTGTACAGCAAAGTGACTCAGTTATACACACATATACATTCTTTTTTTTTTTTTGGCCACGCCATGTGGCATGTAGAATGCGGGATCTATCTTCGTTCCCCAACCAGGGATCGTACCTGCGCCCCCTGCATTGGTAGCATGGAGTCTTAACCACTGGACTGCCAAGGAAGTCCCTATATATTCTTTTTTTTTTTAATTTAATTTATTTTTGGCTGCATTGGGTCTTTGTTGCTGCGTGTGGGCTTTCGCTAGTTGCAGCAAGCGGGGGCTACTCTTCGTTGCGGTGCACATGCTTCTCATTGCAGTGGCTTCTCTTGTTGCAGATCTTGGACTCTAGGCATGCAGGCTTCAGTAGTTGTGGTGCACAGGCTTATACATTTTTTAAAATATTCTTTTCCATTATGGTTTATCTCAGGATATTGAATATTGTTAACTGTGCTATACAGTAGGACCTTGCTGTTTATCCATTCTATACGTAATCGTTTGCATCTACCAACCCCAAACTCCCAGTCCATCCTCCCCAACCACCCTCCCCCTTGACAACCACAAGTCTGTTCTCTGTGTGTTTCTATTTCATAGATAAGTTCATTTGTATCATATTTTAGATTCCACATATAAGTGATATCATATGGTATTTATCTTTCTCTTTCTGACTTATTTCACTTAGTGTAATAATCTCTAGTTGCATCCGTATTGCTGCAAATGGCATTATTTCATTCTTTTTTATGGCTGAGTAGTATTCCATGGTATATATGTACCACATCTTCTTTATCCATTCATCTGTCGATGGACATTTAGGTTCTTTCCATGTCTTGGCTATTATGAATAGTGCTGCTATGAATGTAGGGGTGCATGTATCTTTTTGAATTATAGCTTTGCCTGAATATATGCCCAGGAGTGGGATTGCTGGATCATATGGTAACTCTATTTTGAGGTTTTTAAGCAACCTCCATAGTGGCTGCACCAACTTACATTTCCACCAACAGTGCAGGAGGGTTCCCTTTTCTCCACACCCTCTCCAGCATTTGTTATTTGTAGACCTTTTAATGATGGCCATTCTGACCAGTGTGAGGTGGTACCTCATTGTAGTTCTGATTTAAGCATAAATCGTTTTTCAAGGTCTTCTACTTCTCGCTTATGCAATGCCTGCCCTTCTATCTACAGGAGGTTAAATCTCTCTTGTCTTCGCCTATCAGCTTACTTTGAATT